GTGTGTGTGTGTGTGTGTGTGTGTGTGTGTGTGTGTGTGTGTGTTAGTCCAAATGTCAACACTTTAGGGAGGCATTCAACCAAAGTCAGGAAGACAAGAATGTACACTACTTCTATAATTATTTAACTTATTGGATTTAACAGGTATTCAAATATTAGAATACTAATTGCTACAATTAAACAAGAGAAAACAATTAGACTTGTAAGAATTGGAAAGGAAGAGGCAAACTTTTTGATAATATAATTGCATATCTGGAAAAATCAAAAGAAACAGTGGAAGAGTACTACAAAAACTGCAAGATAATAAAGTAGCAGGATGTAAAATTAGCATGCCAAAATCATTAGCTTTCTATATATATAAACTATAAGCAGTTTGATGATATAATGAAAGAGACCCTGTATATGATAACAAAAATTTAAAATAGGAACCTAATGAGAAATATGCAAAAATAATAAAGCTGTAAAAAGTTCTTGAAATAAAAATAGTTTAGAACAAATTGAGAAAAAAAATCCTACATTCTTAAATAGAAAAACTTAACATCATAAAACTGTTATTTACCCATAAATTATTTATAAATTTAATGCAACCTCAGTAAAATTTCTTCAGATTTTTTCCCATAATTAGACAAGTTGATTATAAAGTTTATATGGAAGAATAAACAACTGAGAATAACCAGGAAATATTTGGAAAGGCTGTCTAATGCATGGCTAATCCTTTTAGAATATAGTGAAACATTTAAAATCGTCTAACTTAAAACAGGAGGTACTGGCTCAGGAAAGGACTTATAAACTAATAGATCACAATAGAATTCCCAGAAATATAATTAAGAAGAGTTTGGTAAATAACAAGAGGCATTGAATCAGAGGGGAAGGTAAACTTTAAATAGTGTTGGGGCAAAGGGATAACTGTAAAGAAAAAGAAAAAAATGGATCTTTTTCTCACAATGTATGCTGGGATAAATTATAAATGTGTTAGAGATTTAAATGGAAACAAAATAAAGACAGGAAAACATACAAATACTAAAAGATAACACAGGTGGGTCTTATTTTATAGCCCAAATGGAAATTTATAATTGACTAAAAAAAAAAATCTGGGATTCAGTAAAAGAAGAAATTTGACAACACTGAAAGAAACCCCAATATAATAGGATATATAAGTATATAGATATATATAAGTAAAGTCACCAGATTATTATAAACTGGGAAATATTTTGCAACTTTTATCACAAAATAATATACTTAATAGAATAAGGATTTTCCAGAAGTTGAGAAGAAAAAGATCCACAACCTGATTTTAAAAATAAGCAAAGTATGAATAGAGGGTTCACAGAAAAGGAATGTTAGTAGCTCTCATTCACAGTAAGAGAAATGCATGTCAGAACTACTGAGATACTGTCTCTCATCTATCAGATTTTTTAAAATCTTCAGAGTTTGACAATATAAATTTTGTTAAGGTGTAAAGGAGGGCAGAGGGCATCAAGAGTCAGGAAAAAGGACTAATAACATTTAACCTAACTGCCTAAAGCATGGGCCACCCAGTTTTGAATAAACAACCCGAGGCTAAGCTTTGAAATGCGCCTGCTTTAAGTTAGATAACTAGAAGTGGGCAACAGCCTGGGGGCGTGATCTGTGATAAGTCACATAGACATGCTTGGGTAAGCAAGAGATAACAATTGAAGCGGTCAGGCAACTGGAGTGTTCCCTAAAAGGTTACAATATAGAATGTGTTTTAAAATTATTGGTTGTAGAAATGCGCGGGCTTCAGTGTAACGGCTGTGAAAATCCTATATAAGCAATACCTAAAGTTGCCTGGGGGTCAGCAGCTCCTACTCGGCCTGCATGTCAGGGAGGTGCTGTCGACCCCAGCTTGCTGGCTGAATAAAGACTTTGCCTGTACTTACATCTCCATGCCTGTGTGCTTTGTTCTCTCGGGAAAACCCTGAGTTCCTGGACCCTAACTTTAGGGGCTCGTCCGGGATCCGTGCGGCTTCCCTGAGAACAAAGGATGGCTGGAGGCAAGGTCTAATTGTCCGGATGGGGCAATGCAATTCAAGGGTCGCCCCCTCGTGTCTGCATAAATCCATTTTAAAGCGAGAGTCACCATCCCGTGTATAGTCTCGGGTTAGTGACCCCGAGTGAGAGAGTCCGGGTTGGTAGTCCCGGCCCCCAGGTTAGCGACCCTGGGTGAAGCCCAGGTAACCAATCCTGGCCCTAAGGTCCGAGTGACTCGGCCTTAGAAAGGCAAGTCCGATCAGCAGAAAACTGATGCCCGAGGAGGAAAGGATCGAGCTCGTCACCCTGCGGCGGTCCGAGTGGACGCCTTTCGGGAGAATAACGAGAGTTTTTGAGGATCCTGAAAGTGGTGAGTGTGGTGCGCACCAGAGTGAGAGAAGGACCAGTCCGAACGAGTGTGATCAGATGTGGTGTGTGTGCTTGGTGTTTATTTTACTGTGTTTTGGTTTTGGTTTATATTTTTTTATGCGCTTCTTATTTTAAGTTACCTTGTTCTAAGGCTCTCCTGCTCTCTCCGTTCCTCCTTTCTGCCACTACATCATTCCCCGTGGGCACGGGTTGGGCAATTAAGAGCCATTAGGGCGCCCACCGCTAGAAGACTCCCGTGACAGGATAAGGGGGTCACAGCCACAAATCCCAGATAAATTCACGTCCCCTGCAGAAGAAAAACTGTGCAATGACAGGCACCCGTTCACAAGCACATATAACAGTCTTCTTGTTTGAAGTGGCATCTTCATCCTTCGCCTTTGTCTCCCTCATATCCTTTTTCTTCTTCTTTTTCACTATACTCCTCCTTTCTGCCACTACATCATTCCCTGCGGGCACGGGTCGGGCAATTAAGAGCCATTAGGGCGCCTGCTGCTAGAAGACTCCTGTGACAGGATAAGGGGGTCACAGCCACGAATCCCAGATAAATTCACGTCCCCCGCAGAAGGAAAACTGTGCAACAACAGGCACCCGTTCACAAGCACATATAACAGTCATCTTGTTTGAAGTGGCATCTTCATCCTTCGCCTTTGTCTCCCTCATATCCTTTTTTCTTCTTTTTCACTATGGGTCAGGCTCAGGCTACTCCTAAGAGTCTGATCCTTTCCCATTTCATGGAGGTCAAGAAACAGGCCTTAAATATGAGCCTTGGCATCAAGAGGGGTAAGCTTGACACCTTTTGCTCAGTTGAGTGGCCTTCCTTTGGAGTAGGCTGGCCGACCCAGGGGTCTCTTTCCCTGGACCTTATCGACAAAGTCAAAACCATTATCTCCTGACCAGGCCCTGAGGGCCACCCTGACCAACTCCCCTATATCTTGGTCTGGGAAAATCTAGCCGAGAATCCTCCATCCTGGCTGAGGCCCTTTTTGGTGGGGAAACCTCATACTGACCCCCTAAAGACCTCTGTCCTAGTTGCTCAGGAAAAATTAGAGCCCTCTGATCGCAGGGCCAGAAATCCTGTGCGCCCGAGTGCGCCGCCTGTCCTCCCCAACAGTTCTCCTCTCTACCCCCTTCTGCCGATTGAGCAGCCACCCCTGTATGCGGAGGAGGGGGGTGAAGCTGCCAGGAGGATAGAAAACGAGGCTGGGGAACCCAGTGGGAACCAGGCGGCCGCAGCTTCCCCAGACTCTTCAGCAGAGGGAGGCAAGAGGCCGGAAAGAGCTTCCCCACACTCCCCCACCCTGGCCCCACACTGGGTGCCAGGTAGAACAGGAGGAATGCAGTTAAGGCCTCGGGGGGCCAGGGAACAAGAAGGGGAGGCTCCCTCCTCCACCTCAGAAGGAGCAGTGCCGGTTCTGCCTGTGCGTGCCATTGGTACAGGCATCACTCAACAATATCAATACTGGCCCTTTTCATCTAGTGACCTCTATAATTGGAGGACTCAGAACCCTCCCTTCTCAGAGGACCCCAAGTGTCTTATAGGTTTAGTGGAGTCCATTATGTTTACCCATCATCCCACATGGGACGATGCCAGCAATTGCTCCGCACTCTCTTCACGACAGAAGAGCGAGAGCGTATCCTCAATGAGGCCAGGAAAAATGTCCTCGGAGAGAATAGAAGACCCACTACCCTCCAGCCCAACATCAACAAGGCGTTCCCACTTACACGCCCGGATTGGGACTTTGGGACTGCAGAAGGTAGGGAGGGTCTCCGGGTCTACCGCCAGACTCTGATGGCCAGTCTCCGGGCGGCCGCCAGACGGCCCACTAACCTGGCTAAGGTAAAAACTATTCTTCAGGGGGAAATGGAAAGCCCAGCCGTGTATCTGGAAAGGCTGTTTGATGCTTACAGGCAGTACACCCCCATAAACCCAGAAGCAGAGGAACACAGATCAGCTGTAGTCCTCTCATTCATCAACCAGGCAGCCCCCGATATCCGGAGAAAACTCCACAAGCAGGAGGACCTGGGGGAGATCTCTATTAGAGAGCTGCTGCAGCAGGCAGAGAAGGTCTTCAATGCTAGGGAAACTCCGGAAGATAGAGAAGAAAAGCTGAAGAAAGAGAAATGGGTAAGGAGAAAAATAGGAAGGAAGACAGAGAATTTCAGAAGAGGAAAAACAAGAAGCAGAGGGAGGAGAGGGCCAGGATATTCCTGGCCAGGGTGAAGGAGGGCCCTAGGCCACCTCGAGGAACAGGACCCCGCCAATTCCGACTAAGACAAGATCAATGCGCCCTGTGCAAGAGATATAGACATTGGAAGAGGGAGTGCCCCCAAAGGAGGGAACAAAGAGGAGGGAACCCTGTTACAACCCTGCACCTAGGAGAGGAGGATTGACGGGGACGGGGCTTGGCACCCCTCCCTGAGTCCTGGGTAACCCTGTGTGTGGAGGGGACTCCCATTGGGTTCATGGTAGACACTGGGGCACAATATTCAGTTCTCAACCAGGCCCACGGTCCCCTGAACCCAGGATGCACAGGTATAGTCCAGGGAGTGACAGGGTCCAAGAAATGTGCCTGGACCACTAGCAGAAAAGCAGAAAAGTGGACCTAGGAAGGCATCAGGTCTCTCACTCATTTCTGGTTGTACCTGAGAGCCCCGCACCACTGTTAGGTAGAGACTTACTAACCAAAGTTGGGGCGTGCATTCATTTTGAACCAGAAGAGATAAAAATCATGGACAAAGAAGGGCAGCCCCTACAACCGGCGCATGTGTTAACTCTGTCCCTGGCCGACGAACATCGTCTGTTTCAGGCAGATCAAGAAAAGGGGGGCTGGGGAGAAATGGACTCTTGGTTACAGAGGTTCCCTTCCACATGGGCCGAGACCGGAGGAATTGGTCTCGCTAAACACCTATCCCCGGTCGTTGTTCAACTCAAAGCCGTGGCTCTACCCATCCGGGTCTGGCAATATCCAATGCCGGAAGAGGCTAGGAAAGGAATAGCACCCCATATCCATAGACTATTGGAGACAGGAATCCTTAAAACCTGCCAATCTGCATGGAATACGCCCCTGCTTCCAGTAAGGAAGCCTGGCAGTGGAGATTACAGACCGGTGCAGGACTTGCGAAAGGTCAATGAGAGGGTAGAAGACATCCATCCTACAGTGCCCAACCCTTACACCCTACTCAGCTACCTGCCACCCGCACATGTGTGGTATACTACTCTGGACCTGAAAGACGCCTTCTTCAGTATCCCACTCTCTGAAGTTAGTCAGCCTTTGTTTGCCTTTGAGTGGCAAGAACCAGGGGGAGGAAGAAAAGGGCAGCTTACCTGGACTAGACTGCCACAGGGCTTCAAGAACTCTCCCACCTTATTCAATGAAGCCCTAAGCCAGGACCTGGAGCCCTTTCGCAGGAGCCACCCCCGCGTGACACTGCTGCAGTATGTGGATGACCTGTTGCTGGCTACAGAAACCCGTGAGGAGTGTGAAGAAGCCACAGGGAACTTGCTGGCTGAACTAGGCGAACTGGGATATCGAGCCAGCGCCAAGAAAGCCCACATCTGTCAGAGGTCAGTAGTCTACCTGGGGTACGAAATATCTAATGGGGCCAGGTGGCTAACGCAGGCTATGAAACAAACTATCCTGACTATCCCCGTCCCCTCCTCACCCCGGGGAGTGAGAGAATTTCTTGGCTCAGCGGGGTTTTGCAGGCTTTGGATTCCAGGGTACGCAGAAATAGCCCGACCGCTATATGAAGCGACCAAAGAAGGGCCGGGCTGGCAATGGACTCAGGAACGACAAGAGGCTTTTGACAGACTAAAAGAAGCTCTCCTCCGGGCCCCCGCCCTATCTCTGCCAGACCCAGAAAAACCCTTTATCCTGTTTATAGATGAAAAGAAGGGAGTGGCCAAAGGAGTCCTGGCTCAGCAGCTGGGCCCATGGAAGAGACCTGTGGCCTATTTGTCCAAGCGGCTAGACCCAGTGGCCTCCGGGTGGCCACCTTGTCTGCGTATCCTAGCAGCCATCGCTCTACTGGTAAAGGAGGCAGACAAGCTGACTTTTGGCCAGAACCTAAGAATAACAGCCCCACATACCGTAGAGGGGATCCTCAGGCATCCTCCAGGAAAATGGATGACGAACGCAAGACTCACCCACTACCAAGGGCTCCTACTAGACTCTCCACGAATCGCCTTCTCTGACCCGGTAACCCTAAATCCTGCCACCCTTCTGCCGGACCCAGATCCGACGACCCCCATCCATGACTGTGGAGACATCCTTTCCGAAATTATCCAGGTGCGAGCAGACCTGAAAGACACACCGTTACCAAGCTGTGAGCTGAATTGGTATACGGATGGGAGCAGTTTTGTGCAGGAGGGGGTCAGGAGAGCAGGGGCAGCTGTAGTAACCCACGAAGGGGAAGTTGTCTGGAGCGCAGCTCTGCCCCCTGGCACCTCAGCACAGAAGGCGGAACTTATTGCTCTTGCTGAGGCCCTGGAAAGAGCAGAAGGCAAGAGGGCCAACATATACACAGATAGCAGATATGCCTTTGGCACTGTCCATGTCCACGGTGCCATCTACCGAGAAAGAGGATTCCGTTCCGCGGAAGGGAAGGGACTGAGGAATCTGCAAGAAGTCCAAAGACTACTAGCTGCTGTCGAAAAACCCAAAGCAGTAGCAGTTATACATGTACCGGGCCACCAATCAAAGAAGACACCTGAGGCCGTCGGCAACAGCCATGCTGATGCGGAAGCTAAAAGGGCAGCCCTCTCGGACTCCCTTGTACTTGCAGCCCTCGAAATACCCATACCTGAACTGCCCGCCTTGCCACCCAAACCTGAGTATTCCCCCCAGGATCTTGAGTGGATTAAGAAACAAGTCTCGGGGAAAGTGTTTAGGGAGGGAAATTGGAGTAGGGACCAAGAAGGTAGGTTGATCCTGCCTGAAGCATTGGGGCAGTACATGCTTGCTAATCTGCACAAGTCCACCCATCTAGGCTGGAAAAAGCTGCTCAGCCTTTTCCAGTCTGCGCAGTTGGTGTTTCCCCACCAGAATGAGGCAGCTCGTCAGATCACGAATGAATGCAGTAGCTGTGCAAGGCTAAGACCAGCCCCAAGAGGGCTGCACCCGGCAGGTACCCGGGAAAGGGGGAGGGCTCCAGGGAGGAATTGGGAAATAGACTTCACTGAAATAAAACCAGGGAAGTATGGATACAAGTATTTGCTGGTTATGGTAGATACTTTCTCTGGGTGGGTGGAGGCCTTTCCAACCAAGCATGAGACTAGCCAGGTAGTAGCAAAAAGATTAATTGAGGAAATCATCCCCAGATATGGGGTCCCTGAAGCAATAGGTTCCGATAATGGCCCAGCTTTTGTTAGCAAAGTCCTGCAAGGACTAGCCCTAGCTTTGGGAGTAGATTGGAAGTTACATTGTGCTTATAACCCACAAAGCTCTGGGCAGGTAGAAAGAATGAATTGGACCCTGAAGGAGACCCTTTCTAAATTGGTATTGGAGACTGGCGGGGACTGGGTGACCCTCCTTCCCTTAGCCATCTTCCGTGCTCGGAACTCCCCCTATGTACATAGTTTAACTCCATTTGAGATAATGTACGGGGCTCCTCCACCCATAATCCGGCGAGTGCAGCTTCCCGGTGTAGAGGACCCATCCCCTGACTATCTGAAGGTGTTGCAAGCTCTTGCTAAAGTGCAGCAGGAAATCTGGCCCCTGATCAGAGCGTATTACGAGGGTGGGAAAATTCCGAGCCCGGAACATGGCATAGTCCCAGGGGATATGGTGTGGGTCAAGAGACACCAAGTGAAGACTCTCGAGCCCAGGTGGAAAGGACCTTACGTTGTATTGTTTACCACCCCCACTGCTCTCAAGGTTGACAGTATCGCTCCTTGGGTGCACCACACCCACGTTCGGAAGATCCTGCCTCATCAGGATCCAGGGGCCCGCAAGGAGGAGTGGAAGGTGCAGCAGCATCCTGTGAATCCCCTGAAACTACACCTAAGCCGAAGATGAAGGGGATCCTGCTGATAAGTGCCTTAGTATGGACCTTAAAGGGAACCACATCTGTGACCAGCCCCCCCCAGCCATGGGGCCTGACCTGGGTGCTGGTCAACGGCGCAACTGGGGAAGTCATCAGTACCACAGAACACAGTGCGCCACTCGGAACCTGGTGGCCTGACCTGTTTTTCTGCCTTCGACGGATCAACCAAGGTTACCGGACCCTTTGGGGGATCGCCCCTTCGGCTGGCACCCAGGCCCAGGGATTTTATGCCTGCCCAAAAGCAGGTAAAGGAGAGTCATGTGGGTGGGGGCCCTTCTGGTGTGCCAAATTGACCTGTGTAACCTCGAACGATGGGGGTCAGAAATGGCCAGTTACAAAAGGGGATGCTGTCAAATTTTCTTATGTCAACCAGGGCCTCCCACGTCACGTGCAAAGGGACAGGGCTTGTGACCGGGACCGGGATTGGGTACGAATTCAATTCACTGAGATGGGCAAAAAGACTGAGGTATCACGTTGGATAAGAGGGCTAACATGGGGGATAAAGTACTATAAATCTTGGGGACATGAGGAAGAAGGCTCAACCCTCACCATTAAATTAACCGTGTTAGCTCCCACCGCCGCCGTAGGTCCCAACTCGGTTATAAATCCCCAGAAACCTTCAATCCAAGATAAGGGCCTGAGCAAAAAGGATGAGAAAATGCCGACCAGGATGCTTGCTCCAGAACCCACGAGAGGACCGGGTCCATCGACCTCTGGGTTATGGGCCCAGCACACTCCCTCCGGGTTAGATAATCCCATGTGGGAAATGGTGCAGGCAGTAGTAGAGACTCTTAACCACACCACTTCCTCCCTCACCGATCCCTGTTGGCTATGCTACCCAGGTTCACCCCCCTTCTATGAGGCAATCGGGATAAATGGCTCCTACACTATCAACAACTCCCATCCCACTTACTGGGATGGGAGACCGTGGAGACTTACAATCGCTCAAGTCTCTATCGCTGGTACATGTGTAGGCACAGTCCCGACGGCCCAGAGCCAGTTATGCTCCTCCTATAATAGCACCCCGTGGGAGCAAGGAAAGTGGATTATACCCTCCTCGGGTTGGTGGCTCTGTTCAAAGACAGGCCTCACCCCGGCCCTATCCACCTCTGTGTTCAATACTAATAATGAGTTTTGTGTGCTGGTGGCCATTCTACCTCGCCTAATATATCGTTCTCATGACTCTCTCCTTTCTTATTGGGAAGAAAGGCCGAATCCCCACCGGAGCAAGAGGGAGGCTGTTACTGCCCTGACCATTGGGATCCTCGTCTCCCTAGGGATAGCAGGGGCAGGCACTGGGGTCGCAGCCCTCGTGACACGGGAAAAAGGGCTCACAACCCTGAGGCTGGCAGTCGACAGGGACCTAGAACAGCTCCGACAGTCAGTATCAAACCTGGAGCAATCCCTCACCTCCTTGGCAGAGGTGGTCCTACAGAACCGAAGAGGCCTGGACCTCTTGTTCTTAAAAGAAGGTGGGCTATGCGCAGCCCTAAAAGAAGAATGCTGTTTCTATGTAGATAAGACAGGTGCAGTTAGAGATTCCTTAGCCAAACTAAAAAAAGATCTTGACAGGCGGCGTAAAGAATATGAAAGCAGCAGCAATGAAGGCTGGTTTGAATCTTGGTTTAAGCACAAGCCATGGTTTGCTACCCTCCTCTCGGCCGTTGCAGGGCCACTGGTCATCCTGCTGCTTTTGCTTACCATCGGCCCGTGTATAATAAATAGGCTGCTTAAGTTTGTGCAAGAGAAGTTTGACACCGTCCAACTCCTGGTCCTTCGCCAAAAATATCAGGCCCTAGATACCGCTGCGGAAGATTCCTTAGTCTGATCAAGAAAAGGGGGGAAATGTAAAGGAGGGCAGAGGGCATCAAGAGTCAGGAAAAAGGACTAATAACATTTAACCTAACTGCCTAAAGCATGGGCCACCCAGTTTTGAATAAACAACCCGAGGCTAAGCTTAGAAATGCGCCTGCTTTAAGTTAGATAACTAGAAGTGGGCAACAGCCTGGGGGCGTGATCTGTGATAAGTCACATAGACATGCTTGGGTAAGCAAGAGATAACAATTGAAGCAGTCAGGCAACTGGAGTGTTCCCTAAAAGGTTACAATATAGAATGTGTTTTAAAATTATTGGTTGTAGAAATGCGCGGGCTTCAGTGTAACGGCTGTGAAAATCCTATATAAGCAATACCTAAAGTTGCCTGGGGGTCGGCAGCTCGGACTCGGCCTGCGTGTCAGGGAGGTGCTGTCGACCCCAGCTTGCTGGCTGAATAAAGACTTTGCCTGTACTTACATCTCCATGCCTGTGTGCTTTGTTCTCTCGGGAAAACCCTGAGTTCCTGGACCCTAACAAAGGCTGTATAAAAACAGGCACTTTTATATACTGCAGGTGGGGACACAAAATAGTACAATTTCTATGAGGTAAAATTGGCAATGTTTAGCAAAATTGTATGAGCATTCACTCTGATCTGGCAATCCTAATTCTAGGGTTCTATTTCAAATATTCAGCTGAAAATATATGAAAATATATGCAGAAAGCTATTCACCGTGGACTTATCTGTTAATAGCAAAAGTCTGGAACAAACCAAATGTGTCTCCATAGAGAACTGGTTAAATAAACTATAGCATATCTATGAAATGAAGGACTATGCAATTATCAAAAGAAACAAAGAGACAGCGCCCACTTCCTGATATGATGGGGTAGTTAGTAGAAAACTGTTGTATCCACTTAGAATGGCTAAACAAGATGGATATAACTGAAACTGATTTGTTTGAAGTTTTCAGAAGGCCACAGAGACAGCCTAGAATTGAAGAGGCAGCCAGGGAGAAGGGAATCTCACTGAAGTGAGCCCAACATTCTGAAAGTTGCTTTTGTTCAGTTGGCATCTGGTAGTTCTTGGCTTGGAGAAAGAGGCTGATAGACTTGGTGGAGGGTGGCCACTGAGAGGCAGGGAACAGCAGAGTTCTCAGAAGTTTTATAGGTCTGAGGAAATGAAACACTGCATGTGGGGTTTCCAAATCAGCCTAGATTCAAGAAGCCAAGGTCCCAGAAAAAAAAGGGAGATACAGAGAAGTGAGCCTGACGTTTGGTAGTTTTTCTTTAAAGTACTTGGTGATTGTCAGTTATGGAAAATGAGATTAAGAAGCCAAGGAAGCAGCTGGAAACCAGAGTGGAATTTTTAGCAGTCTTATGTTGTGGAGATGAAAATTGGAAATCAGGAACTGACTGGGAGGAAGCACTTAGTAAATGCCCTAGGCTATCAGTTGAGACACTTACTATGGGGTGCATTAGGGTAGATCAAGCCTCACTACAACTTAGCTTTGAGTCATCTTACCTTGATTGGGTTGAGATAAACTGTCCCTTCTCTAGCTGCTGGACAGACCATAGATTACGTCTTCTATGGAGGAAAATCACTTCATCCAGAGCCTCTACACTCTTTCAGGCACAGTGATTGGCATTTAATCCAGAAGGACCAGGAGAAAAAATGTAATAGAAATATACTCACAGGTGTTCCAGATTATTGTGGTTGCTGGACACAGATTTATAAATAATTGTAGTTAATGTGGTCAAGAAAATAAGTGGAAAAATGAAGAATTTTACCAAAGAAACAGAATCTATATTTTTATAAAGCAAATAGAAATTTGAGAACTGAAAAATAGAATAATCAAAATTAGAACTCAATAAATGGGCTTAGCAGAGGGTTGAACACAGCTGAAGAGAGGCCTGGTAGGCTGGAGATAGGGCAGCAGAAGATACCTTGACTGAAATATGAAAAGAAAAAAGGATGGAAAATGCAGAATAAGAGACCAGGTTTATTATATGAAACATTCTAACAAATGTAATTGGAATTCAAAAAAGGAGGAAAGAGAATGTGGAAGAAGCAATATTTAAAGAGATAATAACCAAGGATTCTCCAAAAGTGATTAAAAAAATTTGAGTCACAGAATCAAAAATTACTAAGAGCCCTAAGCAGTATAAAGGCAAAAACCTACACACTGGCACATCATAATCAAATTGCTAAAATCAAAACAAAGAGAAAGTCATAAAAGTAAGTAGAGAAAATACATGCATTACTTTCAAAGAAGCAACACTAACACTGAAAATTATCATATCAATAGAAATTATGGAAATCAAATGGTAGAATGACTCCTTTAAATGATTAAAAGGAAATAACAGCTAGTCTAGAATTCTGTACCTGGTGAAAATATACTTCTTAAATGAAGGCAAAATAAAGGTATCTCCAGAAAAACAAAAACTGAGGGTACATATGTCACCAATAGACTTATATTAGAAGAAATATTAAATGTAGTTTTCATGCTCTGCATCACAATTGTGGTTACACAAATTTATACATGCATTAAGATTCATAGAACTGTACACCAAAAAAGCCAATAATTTTTTTTTAAAGGAGTACATTTGGCACAAGGAAAATAGTCCCAGATGGAAATCCAGGATGCAAGCAGGAAGGAATGAAAAGCAATAGAAAAGATAAACATATGAGTAAGAGTAAGTGAATATTGACTACACAAAAATAATAATGACTCTTGTGGCTTAAAATTCATGTTGAATTAAAATATGACTATAGTAACACATAAGGCAGACTGGGTAAATAGAGAAAACTGTTCTAATGTGCCTTTTTTGGAAACTAAATACTAATTTATATCAGACTCTAATAAGTCAAGAATTCATATTGTAATCTCTAAGATAAACATAGTATAAGAATAATATAAGAAACTCAACATAAGAATAATACAAGAAACAGTGTAACCATAGTAAAAGAATGTATAACTGAAAAGCTAATAGAGGGAAAGATACTAAACAATGCTTAATTTTAAAAGAGGCAAAAAGGGAAGGAAAAATAAACAGTGAGCTAAATAAACAATAAATAGTAAGTAGTTGAACCCAAATACATCAGTAGTTATAGTAAATATAAACAAATAAGTATCCCAATTAAAAGATAAAGATTGTTGGACCAGGTTTAAGGATGAAGCACAACTATATGCTGTTTTGTTTGCATTTATTCCAAGATTAAAGTTTGATTAATATTAAAAATCAGTTTAATTCACCACATGAATGAAATGGACAAAG